AGTTAAATGCGGAGGAATAATATGGTAGCGTAAAGATGAGTGCAAGTATTCAGGTGCAATTAGAGATTAATTATGGGATTTTAAAGGTAGGTTATTTGTTAGGGTTGAATACGTAAGATAGAAGGATTCCGATTCAAATGTGCCAATGAAACAACGTGTTGGCGTAAGCGTATAATTTTAGATTTAAGAGTTGGGGTCGGTGTCTTTCAGCTATCCCACTAAATCTTATATCACTAACGTTCTGAGCGATGGAAGAACATTGTTGTCGAACTGAACCATTTGTGTTTGACTATGATAATAATTCCTATTTTAGTGAATCAACCTTTTCTGCAGGGAGAAAATTGAATGTCGAGGAATCGAAAACAAAACGAGCATGCCAAAGCACTCGAATCAAAGTTATATATTGTATGTTGTTATTTTTAAATAAAATCCATTGTTCTTTGTATTGATTTGATTTTCAAATGAAAACAGTAAAATGAAATTTCCCTGTACTGAGGAATTGCGCTTCTGAGCGATTTCACTCATCTGCGGAGTTATTCTTAAGGTGTTCATTTAGTCAAAAAATTAATGAGTGCAGTAGTTTTACAATGCTTCATGAAATAGTCATGTCGGTCGTTAAACTTTAGTAATGTTTTTGGACACTTTTGTGTTTGGAACGCAGTTTTATGCTTACGCATCTTGTGGGCATGTTTTAGCGGTATTTTATGATGGAATTCCGCCTCTCCTCTTGTTTCAGATTCGAACCTCAGAAGATGAATTTGCTGATTTAAGTGAATGTGGATTGCAGAAAGTCCCAACTGAATTCTATAATTTGTGTCGTGTTTTTCGAAAGGAGGTAATCTGATGTGTTTATTGTTTTTTCTTTGTATATGTCACAAGTCCGTATCGAATGAATCTGAATTCACGGAAATTTATTTTACATTTCTGGTTATTTCTAACCAACTTTTATTTGTTCAGGTAGAAGAATTTTTTTGATGTTCGTTTTGAAAATCAGTTAAAGTTGTTTGTTTTGAGCTCTGAGAAGTGGGAATAACTTCAGATTATTGATTTACACTCGAATAATTTGTGTTCGTTGAGTGCGAGCGAAGATGGTGATGATGAGAGTATGTGCAAAATGAAGGGCATTTTAAAGGAGGTCCGCGCCAGTAAAAATTTGTTGAGGTTAGAGACTTTCGAATTTTGTTATCCAGTAAAGGAGGCCCAGTAACTTTGTTTCGAGGTTAGAGACTTTCGATGTTTTATCGAAATCTTTTCATCAAATTCTTTTCA